GGGGGGGGGGGGGGGGGGGGGGGGGGGGGGGGGGGGGGGGGGGGGCGGCACCGGAGCTCCCGCTCACCTCAGAGTCCTCTTTGGCCTGCGGCAGCGCGGGGAAGGCCGGCTTGGCGAGCTCCATGGCCGGGCGCTGTCCGGGCGGGGCAGGACCCGGGGCAGGGCGGCTATTTGGGCAGCGGGACCGCGGGCTCCGGCTCGGGAGCGGCAGGAGATGGAGGCGGCGGCGGAGGAGGAGGCGGCGGCGGCGCGCTCAGCCGCTCGAGCCCGGCCGCCATGCTGCTGCTGCTGCTGCCGCCTCTTCTTCCCTCCTCCTCCTCCTCCTCCTCCTCCTCCCCCTCCTCCCCTTCCCACCTCTTCCTCCTCCTCCTCCTCCTCCTCCTCCCGCTCCCCCTCCCCTCCGCCCGCCCCCGGGCCCCGCTCCAGCGGCGCCCCCGCCCCGCTCCGCCCTCAGCGCTCTGCCCTCCCCTCACGGGCGGGCGCCGCCCCGGTTCCTGTCGTTAACCCCCTCGGGGCCCCCAAATTCTCCTTCATTAACCCCAAAATGTCGGGAAGGGGCGCTTAACTCGTTAACGGCGATGAGGGTCGCGGCCATTACCGCTCCCTTGTCGCCGTGCCCCGGCATTCCCGTGGGATTGTTCTCCTCAGGCACCCGCTTCCATTCTGGCGAGGGGGCACTCGCCCTATCCCCCATGGGAGTGACGCTGCTGCCTCAAATTCTGGCTGGCGGTGCAAAAGAGGTCACCTACAGTCAGGTCCTCTTTGCTGGGTGATGCCCGCAGATACATCAGTTTTGGGGCAGCAACCTGTTTTTCTGCTTTTTGAGGTTTCCCTGGTCCCATGCTCTGCTTGGAATCTAAGTATGTGGAATAAATGCAGCCGGGAAAAGGCTCCAGGGAGACCTCAGAGCCCCTTCCAATGTCTAAAAGGGCTCCAAGAGAGCTGGAGAGGGAGTTGGGACAAGGGCCTGGAGGGACAGGAGAAGGGGGAATGGCTTCCCACTGCCAGAGGGCAGGGTTAGATGGGATATTGGGAAGGAATTCTTGGCTGTGAGGGTGGGCAGGCCCTGGCACAGGTTGCCCAGAGAAGCTGTGGCTGCCCCTGGATCCCTGGAAGTGTCCAAGGCCGGGTTGGACTGGGCTTGCAGCAACCTGGGATAGTGGAAGATGTCCCTGCCCATGGCAGGGGGTTGGAATGAGATGAACTTTAAGGCTCATTCCAACCCAAACCATTCCATGATTCTACAAGACTTCACTTTAGGGTGCAGTTTTCCATTCCTGCACTCTTTACTGAACCAAAAACCTGCCCTGGTGTCATTGTAATTTCCAAGGGAAGCTTAGTCAAGCAAGCAAATTCAATGGGTTGGTTGCCTAAATAAAACTTTGAAAGTCTTTGCACTGGAATTTTAGGTACATCAGGAATAAAAAACTAGAAACTCTCCTGCTTTTTACTGCACAAAACCTTGAGAAATCTTCAACAATCACATTTCAGCAACCGTTCCTTCAGCGAAAGATGAAGAAGGAAATGGCAAAGGAGGAAGCAACAGGAAAACTGCAGCTCCCATTTCCAGCTGGTGTCAAGAAAAGGAACAGGGTCAGGTCTCTGTAGCCATCAGGGTAGAGCCTGAACTTTAAAAATTAGTTATAACCACTCCCAGGGCTCCAGGAAAGAGTTTTCCACACCATTTACCCTCCTCCAAGGTAATGCCAGAGGCTCACCCCGCTATTTCCATCACTGCAGTGCTCAGAAATGGACTTTTATTTCATTTTCTCATTGTTCCAAGCACTCTGGCTGTACGAGTTGCACTCAAAAGGGTATTATGGTAAAACTAAAACTGAGATTTGCATCTTTACACTCCTGACAGAGTCAACAATGGGAAGCTGCTACCCAGAAATAAAGGTCTGTAACAACCATTAGCCAAATAAACAGGGAAATACTGTTGCTTGTCCTGTTGTAACCGTTCTACACCTCACACTACCTGTTTAGTCTCAGTGCTGGGAAAGGAAATAAAACCACAGCTATTAAAAATGCCAGGGAGATGCTGGTAAGCAGCGTGTTTCCTGGGAAGTCTAGAGTTAATCTAATGTACTTGTCTGTCAGCTGAGCATGCCCAGAGTAATCCAATTAGGATAATGAGAAGTAGCCAGGAGTGCAGTTCAGTGCACTGCTGTTCCAGTCCAACACTCAGGTGAGCTGGGGAAGTGGTGGATCTGCGTGCACCCCTTGGGGTGGAACTGCTTGGAAAACAAAAATATGGCACGGTGACAGATGTCCTTGAAAACCCCAGCACCTTGTTTACTTCTCGCAATAATTAAACACTAGCTCAGGTAAATCCTCTTCCCAGAATTCGGCAGCACACCAGCGTGCCCAGGTGGCCAAGAAGGCCAAGTGGCACCCGGGCTGTGCCAGGAATTGTGTGGCCACAGGACCAGGGCACTGCTGAGGCACCACCACCTCCAATCCTGGGGGCAGCTCTGGGCCCCTCAGACAAGACATGGAGGGGCTGGAGCGTGTCCAGGGAAGAAAACAGAGCTGGAGAAGGGTCTGGAGCACCAGGAGTGGCTGAAGAAGCTGGGGGGGCTCAGCCTGGAGAAAAGGAGGCTCAGGGGGGACCTTCTGGCTCTGCAACTCCCTGACAGGAGGGGGGAGCTGGAGGGGTCAGGCTCTGCTTCCAGGGAACAAGGGACAGGACAAGAAGAAATGGCCTCCAGCTGTGCCAGGGGATTATGTTTAGACTGGATATCCAGCCCTGGCACAGCTGCCCAGGGCAGTGGTGGAGTTCCCATCCCTAGAGGGATTTAAAAGCCATGTGGATGTGGCACTTGGGGACATGGGTCAGTGGTGCCCTTGGCAGTGCCGGGGAAGTGGTTGGACTTAATAATCTTAAAAGGTTTTTCCAACTTCAGTGATTCTGTGAATCTAAACCCCACTTGTCCCTCCTCCCTCTGAGGGAAAGGCTGCCTCTGTTTGGTATGGAAGGCACAGGACTCCAATGGCAACACCAGAGAAAAGCTGTTCTTTAAATTCTGAACACACATAATTCACCTCTCTAGGAGAGCTACAGAAAAAAGTCCACCAGCATAAGCAGATTTAAACAGGTTTTATTCATAAACTGTTTGGGGAAAGGAGATTTACTGATATACAAAAAGTCAAGAAATGAACTGACTTTCTTATGTTCGCGAATCCCTTCAGGCACGTTTATAAATTCCCACCATAATTGCTAAGAGAACACATCTCCACACATTTTACTGAGCCTGGGCTGTAATGAATAATGTATGTCTGAATTGTACAGAAAACACACTCCTGTAGCCAACTTGCAACTAGCATTCCCAAAATTACTAGCTACATGCTACACAAACACCTTACAATGATAATCAAGAGGTACATTATTTCTCTCTCTTTATACATTAACCCAGGAGGACGTGTGCAATCAATCACAAATTCTATGGTTTAATTTACACAGGTTTGTAGTCAAGCTTGGACTCCAGTTTCTTGGAATCAGCCACTTTCCTGACAGCTTTCATGAAGTCTTCCTGAACTACGAAGTCATGATCGGCACGGATCGCAAACATCCCTGAGAGGAGAATTTAACAGCCAGGATAAGCTACAGAGCACAAAGATTCACTCAAATCCAAGTGAAAATTAATCCAAGTTACACTGTCTGGGATGCTGGGAAGAGGAGGGAATTTCAGTGAGGTCACCTTTCTGAACTAGGGGATTACTGGTAAGAAAACTTGTTTAAACTGTGAGTATTTACTGTGTTACTCAGCCTGTCCAGGCAGGCAAACCCAGTGCACAAGTTTTAATGCAGAAAAAGCTTAAAACAGCATCAACTTTCCAGTAACCTGGGTATACCAAGAGACTTGGATCCTCTGCAAAAAGGAGATAAATGGGTGCAATCACCGTTTCTACTGAGACAATGTGACACATGTCATGATATTTATCCAACAGGTGGCTGGATATTTATCCAAGAGCCCAAGTGAAACGTTCCAGCAGAAGGTTTTTGAGCTCCTGGTTTTAATCCCCAGAGAAAACAGCTCCAAGGTTCAGCATTATCCAAGGTTTAGCACAGGGAAATGAAGAGTTTAGGAATTACCTGCTTCAGTACAGACATTTCTCAAGTCTGCTCCGTTGAAGCCATCTGAGAGCTTCACGATTGCTTCATAATCTGCCCAGAAAACACCAGTGCCAGTTAGAAATAAATCACACTCCCCCCTTAGGGATGCCAATGACATACATATCCAGCAAACAAACACACACTCGGATCTCGGTGCAAACAGAGAGCACTGGACTGATAAATTAACTGGAAGCAGCAGCTGCATCACCCCTTCCATTAAAACACAAAGTACTGCAGCCAAAAGCTCGTATTATATAATTAAATCCCAAAGTTACCAACTTGTGGTTACAAGAATCACCATGAAGTGCAAGAAAGCTACATCAGGGCAATGTTCTTATCATTTAAATGATGCAAACCCCCAGAAGTCTTATCTCCAAGTGATCACAGCTCAGTCCCTTTCCACTTCCAGCACTGCATCTACTAAAGGCATTTAATGTCTTGATATTAAATATATGCACATCTATTTACTAAAAAAGTGGCTGTGCTGGTAGTTCATCAGGAACCAATTTCGAAACCGCTGTGTCTGTTGAGCCTCCAGCAAATCCTGCTTTTTGCAAGGCTGCTTATTAAAATTATCAATTTTGTGCAAAACCTTTCGAAGTTTCCCTCCTGCGTGAAATTCAGAACATTTGAACCGAATGTTTTTATCTCAAGGATTCAAAAACTCCTAAAGATAAGAAATTCTCCAACTGTATTTTAATTCCATGTAGCACTATGTCCTATAAACAAGTCTTTCCAAGTAAGTGGAAAGTTTAAAAAAAAAAAAAGAAGTGAGGGGACTAAGCAATGTTGAACAGTGCAAGGTTTGTAAGTTTAGGGTCTTCAGCACGAGATTTTCATGCTGGAAACTCAACAGGTCATTTTCATGGATTTTAATGCAATTCCCACCCCACCTTGCTGCTAAGTCCTGGCCTTACTTTTGGGGTATCAAAAGTCTTTCCACACCCTGTTCAGACACCTCACCTTGCAAATGGCACAGAGGAATAATCCTGCCATGCTCTACTCCAGTGCCCAAAGATACAAGAACAAGGGTGAAGGAGAATCATGGAATGGTTTGGGTTGGAAGGGACCTTATAGGCCATCTCATT